GCCAACCAAAAGGGAGTACCCAAAAAGGACACACACCACTTGGGCGTGTTCGTGAAAGGTTGAACGGCAGGCTCCCTTTTGGGCTTTAAATGGAAACAGCAGGGGATTCATTGCGCTGAAAAGAGTTGGGTGCCCTATTTAAAGACATGCCCTTGGGTTTGTTTAAAGGGAACCCCAAAATGGCTGGGCTGTCCCTCAGGTTTAGTCCCTTTCAACCAACCCCAAAAAGACCCACGTGGCCATTTAGCACACCTTCACCACCCATTGGGGGTCGTGTTTCGGTCCAGATGTCCGAGCTGATGAAGGTCCTTTGAAAAGGTTCCCTGTCCGGTTCCCTGTTCAGTTCCCTGTCCGGTTTGGGAAGTGTAATTTGCCCTTCGGGAAGGGTGAAAGCAGAGGGATGGGCCCCCTTAAAGACCATTGCGAGGGGTCCAAGATTGCTGCTTTTGAGGATGGACCCAGGATTGGGAATCAGGGGACTCACTTTTTGTTGCAAGACGCGCTTGTTCGGAGGCTCGATGAGAGCTTGATTCGCAATTGATAGCAAGCAGAGTTTCCACCGTGTCTTTCGATTTGTTTCATGCAGGTCCTTGGCCACCTCATCCCAGCTCCCTCATCAAGGGAATCATGAAGTTGTCGACTTGTGGACCAAAAGTGCCTCTGCTGGCCAATTTCGGGGAAGTTGGATGACGCCGGATTCTTTTGTGTAACTTCGAGTTTGTTCCAGTCGAATGCAGAGGAAAGATTGGTGCGGAATCCGCCTTCGGGGCAGCGTGAATTGAGGGAGATGGCTTCTGGGAGAATGGAAGGGATCCCTGTCCGTGAATGATCATGTTGACCAATTGAGCACCCTCGTCACTCGTCTACTTTTGCCGGGTGGTTTTTGGCATGGATTCAGGCTCAGGTCCGCACATGGCACGCAGGAGTTGCAGGCCTTGCGCGAGAAACTCACCAAGAAGGCGAGGCGTTCTTGTGGCGGCCCGCGCATTCAAAGCCCGTAGGCCCATTGGGGTGGGGCGGGCAGAGGTTGTCCCACAGCGTTGGGGCCTGCGCGGCAAAGGCATCAAGTGGTTGGCAAAGCGAGATCATGAACACCCCTTGGAGGATCCTCCACTTCAGATGTATAACTTGTGGAAGCGTGTCAATGTGACCAAGAGAGTAGAGATGGGTCTTCCTATTGCTATTTGCGATGGAAGACCACTGACGCCCTCTGACAGCAGCCCAAAGCTCCGTGTCCCTGAAAAGTCAGCTTTTCCAGACTCTTTGGGCAAGCAAAGCCAGAAAGGAGCATTCAAAGAACGACTCAAAAAACCCTTTGGAGGTGCCAAGCTCAGTTTGGATCCTGAGCCTGCGTTGGCTGGGATTGGCGGCCACTCTTGTCAAAATGCCCGTTTATGGCACACACAAAGTGCCCTCGTTGACCGCTGTCAGCAGAGGAACCGGTGAATCTGTCTCTGCATATCTGCGTGTTTGCGTGTCTGCGTGTCTGCGTGTCAGCATGTCTGCGTGTGTTGTTTTCATTTCTTTGTCTGTGTCTGCATTGTTTCTGCATGCATCTCTCACTCTCTCTTTCTGTACGTGTGTGGCATTGAGACGCCTGTTTGGCTTGTTTCAACCTCGGTTTACTTCCCCAAAAGTCTTCGAGCGCAGGAGTTCTGGCCGCCCAAGCCCAGCCTGGCGCGCCAGCCCGGGTCTTGGGGGCGCGTGGGGGGGTGCGGGGTGCAGAACTCTGGTGCAAAGCCGAAAGTTGCGGGGCTGTTAGTAGATCAGCATGGGTCGATGTGCGTTTGACTGATATTAGGGCACCCCCCCAAATGGGCGCTCTTTTGGCGTCTCTTCAAAACAGCCCCAAAAAGGGAAGTGACCATCTTTTGCAACCGCCTGCTGGTTTGGGGAGGACTTGCACTTTGTTTGCAACGGAAACACAGGTTTGGACCTGTGTCCGCGTCTCTTTGGGTGTGAACATGTGTTTTTATTCCGTCCTTCCCCTGAAAAACCTTTGACACGGGTCGACTTCGGCGGGCGCAAAATGGCGCCGCCGGGTCGGGCCCGGAAGGGATTGCGGCAAGATCACCTGAGGTTAAAGCGAGCTCACCATGATGTAGGTCTGCTTGCGGATTCCTCATTTCAGGTCTCGGAGTTTGATATCTGCGGATCATTTTGTCAATCTCCCTCATGATGCAAGAGCCAGCTGTTGGCCCACAAGCCCAGATGCGATGTTTGCTGGGTAGGTCTGAGAGCGCAGATGTTTGCCACAGTCTTGGCCTGGCAAGGTACAATGCACGTCAGTGTATGTTTTTCCAGGAGGTTGGCGTGCTAGGTTATTGCTGCCATGACTGCCGGAAACAAGCACTTTTCCTTGCAGAGTTGGTTACACTTTTTCTCAACATGGGGCTACAACCCACCATTCTTGCACATTCGCGTTGCCGACGTTTTACCCTAGCTTGTGCTAGAGCCAACACGCAGATGTCCAAGCGCCCAAGCTTTCATTTTGCTGGGACTTACCACAGGGTGGTTGCACTGCTGCTGCACACTACTATGATTGCTGTCTTGACATTTAGCGATGGCTTTGTCCGAGTACGGCCTTTTTTCATTGGGGGTCCCCAAAACGGTGGATTTGTCTTTGTTCCTTTAGAACCGCCAACCATACAAGGGGTCCCCCATTCCTATTATGCAGCACCCATGCCCATATGAGTCACAATCTAACCCAGGTTAATGAAGGTTAGGAACAGTCCCAACATGTTGTTTGGTGCGGATATCTGCCCTCTTGATTCTTTGCATGGGTAGACACCTTATGCACAAGGTTTGATTGATGACCAATATGGGTGTTGCTCAATTAGAGGCCCCATAAAATGGATGGGTTCCTTTTGGTTTTATTTCAAACAGCAACCAAGAGCGGGTCCAAACATCATTTTTTAAGGAACAACTTTCACATGCGCTTGGCCGAAGAACAAGTCACTTTCCGCGCGTAGGTGCGGGTACCAGCTCGATGGCGTTTGCCTCTCAATGTGCGCCAAAAGGTGGCAAGTGGAGGGGTGCTACTCTCAACACAAGGACAAGGGCAGTGAATGGGTTTCTTCCAACCCCCCCTTTCTCCACTTTCTCCGAAGTCCTCCTCCCTCAAAGAATGACCAAGGGTTGGGTATCGCACTGGTCTTGTCTGGGAGTGTCCTTTTGGTGCTTCTTCCCCTCGTGATCGGGTCTAGGCACGACGAGTTGATCCATTTCCAGAGTTCTCGTGTATGGGGACCTCCAAACAGTTGGCTTCGTATTGGTTGTGCACCATCCAAAAGGGGATTTTTGATAACCAAGCGAGGTGCCTGGATCTTGTTCTGGTTCAAAAGGACTTGGCTGAGCCATCTGCTTCCCCTTGAACTCGTGACTGCGCCTTTCAGAGGGCCTAGCGGCCTAGCGAAAGGGGTGCGTTTTGTCCGCGGCGTGTCCAGGTACGGCGCGGAGCACTGCATTTGCGGCTGCCCGGTGATCGTGCCAAAGCTGCGGAAGATCGGAAAACAGGGTGTTCGTTGTCAGAACTGGGGGTGGGGGGGGCCGAAGTGGGACTGGATCAACAACAAACCGAAGACGGACCTTCAGCTTTGGTAGCAGAACCATTCCCCTCGGTCCATATTTTTTGCCAGGGGTCCCGGATGCCCTTTTTGCAAATCTGCTCATCCATGTGAGCGACGGGCAATTGTTCGATCTGGAGTTTTCTTTTAACTGGCAGGGTACCAAGCTGTCGCCCAAAAACTTTAAGTTGTTCAATGTCCTTTTGAGCGTAACTGACGGACGGAAGGCCAGGCGCGTCGCTCGGAGGTGCTTGGCGGATGAAAGTTGATACTTTGTGTGCATGCGTGCTGTAAATTTCAGGAATTTCATGGGCTTAAAAGGGAAAGCCAAAGCTAACAAGCGATTGTGGGGCAAAACCCCACATTTTCCCCAAGGGGTTGACTGAAGCGGATCGTTATTCTAGGCTGTGACCCCCGTTTAAAGGGCAGCACGGAATTTCGTGGGTCTGGGGGCAGGCAGGTCTGGTTGAAAGCAGATGGATTCCACTGGTAGATTTGTTGGGTTCTGCTCATTGACCAGTGGTCCATCTATTGGCCCACTTTGGGTCTCACAAACATGGATTGTGTGGAATTCACCGATTGTTCCTTTAGAGGACACTGGGCTCCCTATATTTCCCCTTGTGGTTTGAACCTCAATTTCTGGCCAATTCTTCATGTTTCAAGGGACACATTTTGGACCAATGGGTATGTCGTTTTGGAAAGTATCCTTTCTGAGGCAGTTTCTCTCGCGAAACCAAAGGGGAAACACATAGGCTTCCCCTCCCTTGACTGACTGACGGACACACGCGTACAACCACAACCACAAACACGCCTACACACACAAACACAAGCACAAGCACTAGCACAAACGCAACCCCAACCACAACTACAAACAGAAACACAAACACAAACACAAGAACCAACACAAACACAAGCGCATCCACAACCACAACCACACACACAAATACACGCACAAACAAGCTCAAGCACCAACGTAAGCGCAAGCGCAAACGCAAGCACAAGCACAACCACAAGCACAAACACCCACCCACCGATCCACCACCCAAGCACCCGCGCGCACACACACACACACACACACATGCAGGCAGGCAGGCAGGCAGGCAGGCAGGCAGGCAGGCAGGCAGGCAGGCAGGCAGGCAGGCACGCACGCACGCACGCACGCACGCACGCACGCACGCACACTCGAACGCATGCACACACGCACACACACTCCAACCACACACTCCAACCACACATCCAAAGACACACCAACCAAGCAACCACACACACACACACATGGCCAGTAACTCCCATTGTGAGGGATTCCCTTTGGAGACAAGCCCACTTTCAACCAGACCTATAACAGGTGGACCACGAATGAGTAGAACCCAACAGATTTACCGGTGGCTATGGGGACCTTTGCAACACCGAGATTTTCGTAAACCCTGCAACCAGATCTTGGACGCCGGGCTGGCCAACCGCGCTGTCAGCGCCGCGGCCTTGGTTTCGGGAAATCCGCGCAGCAAAGCCAACATGGCCATGGAGTCAACGCATCAACAGTAGACTGATTGGCAAGTCCTTTGGGGAAGTGCCGCATGGAGAACAATCGTCGATTGTGTGACCTCATGTCTTTTGATGCCTCACGTTGTAGGTGATTTTTCCAGGCTTCATGGAAGTTCTACTAGTAGAAGCTACACCAGCCTTCAAAACCCAGTCAGTAGATTTCAAAGGCAACGGGTTTCGGTCTTTGCAGATTTCTGTTACGGGTGATCAAGGTATAAGATGTTGGAGTTGGGCCAGGTTCAGCCATCTATCATCATTTCCCGGTGACAAAAAACAACTTGCATCATTCGCTTGGTGAACGTGCGATCTGGGGATAGCGCTGCGAGTTGTTCCAAGTTGTTGCCTTTTTCGGATGGCTTTGTCCACAAAGGCCACGAATGATCAGGATCTCGATGTTGTCAAGCTCGTGCTTCCGGGTTCATGGATCCCCGTGCGCCTGGAAAAGCCCGCTATCCAATGTGACCTTCAGCCTTCTTCAAGCATCAATTCTGGAGGGGATGAGGCGCTTGCATTTTGAGACTGCTGCAGGCGACGCAAATGAACGAGACGTGTGAAGCCCTAGCTGCCTCTGCTTTCAAATAGGGATGGGCCTTGTCCAATCGTGGATAGTTTGTCTCAAAATTAGAGAAGCCACAAAACGGGTCGCAAAACAAGGTATCCTGGCAACCTCAAAAGACACGCATATAGTTGGCTTCCCCCGAGTGCAACACGCCCCGCCAGACTGGATGTAACGTGAAGTGGCGCGGGCTAAATGCCGATCAACAGTTCATGGATCAGCTGCACAGTTGTCGACCCACGATACATGGGTATGCGTCAAAAATGGGGCGACTCCAAATGGCGTTTTTCCTTCTGGTTTCCCTTTGCGCGAACCCCAAATGCCAAAGGGGCCCCTCGAAAAGCGCAAACCCCAATGCTGTGGAGCAGGTCTTTGACAGGGCTTGCCTGGGAGAGAAGAATCTCCAAGCGACACTCAGAATGGCTGGACCATGCAAAAGGACCGCAGAAAATCAGGGGGATGCCCCAAACTTCCCCTGTCTTGTCGGGGAGACCTTCGTAATTTTGTCCATTCACGGGTGATCCGAGGTATTGCCAATGTGGCCAGGTCTTCAAGCTCTCCTGACTTTCCTGTTCCAAGATCATTTCATCCCAGCATCCTACGATCTGCTTTCTGTCATGTCCAAAACCCCAAGTGCTGTCTTTTAGACAGCTGTCGTTGGGACCAGGGTGCTGATCTTAGACCATTTCAACTTCAGTCCTAAGGGAGTCGGGCGCCTTTGCGGAGCTGCCCTCGAAGTGGACCTGCCGAGGTCTTCCAGATCGCACTCCATCTTCATGATTACGGTGGCTCCGAGTGAGTCGTCCAACCTTTCCAGGTTCGTGTTCTTGAGGGTATCATTTTTAGGTTGGTTTAAAGAGAACAGTTTCACAGGCGACTTGGTGAACAGGGACAACGGGAGGGCCGTATGCCGACAGTCTTAGCTGGAACCCCTTGATTCGGTCTTCGGCCGGCAGTGCAGTCTTGGGTGCCAAAGGACCCTTCGCAAGTGGGACCATCGCTGGGTTTTTGGGGAACTCGGAGGCTCAGGTGCGGCACCGAAAGAAATCAGGTAAGTGGGAGGCGTTTGCGCAGCCCACGCCCTCCAATATGATGTGTGTTTGCCGAGGTTTCCCTTTTTGGTTCTGTTTTTGAGGGAATCTGAAGGAATGCGCCTGTCATTTGGGGCTGTCTCTAAAGACAACCCCATGCATGCGGCGGCATTTTGAAAACTGAATTCTGGGACCTTGAGGATGGCTTCTCATGTTATTGCCTTCGGGATGGACGAAACGGGTGTACCTGGCTTTGACACACATGTTTGGATTGTGGGACCCCGAAATGGGCGTACAAAGCTTCGTGAAGCTTCCCCTTCCATCATGCTCTATCCTGTGCAGATCATTGTGAACATCATGTGAAACACGTGCACTGCTTTTCCCACACCGAATTATTTGGTGGGTCCTCTAGAAATGGTCAACCCCGAATTTGGTTCCAAGTCTTCTTCGATCAGGGTTGCTGCGCAACTGGGTGGAAGGGATACAATGTCATGATCCGAACAGCTATTTGAGGGTATCCCCTATGGTAGAAAACACAGGTCACAGTTCACGAGTGCCATGATCAAAGCACCCGTTTGCTGGAGGTTGATAATCACTTGGTACGAATCGTGCGCTTTACTTTCTCAAACATGTTTGCACTTTTTCAGGTGGGGCTCAGCAGGAAATGCACCAGGTATTGCTTTAAGGCGATCCTAAACTGATTGATTCCCTCCTGAGAAGCGGGCAATTGCTTGGGGTCTCCTGCAAAAAAAACAGAATGACCATAGGGTAGACTACATACAGAATCAGACCATATCGTTTTTGGAGTGGGTATCGCTGTATTTTGGGGAACCACCTTTTGTCCCGGAAGCCCATTTTGGAGGCACCCTCTAACTCGACGCGCCTCGCAGCCGCAGGTGGAGCAAAGCGCCCGCGGCGTGGACGGCGCAGACCACATCCGCGCCGGGACGCTGAGCTTTCGGGCCGCGTCGGTTTGGGTCTGCACCGAGGCGAGTGGCTCGCTGACTCAAGGAATGAATTTGACCCGTTGGTGGACACCATTTTGGGGAAGATTCATAGCTTTGTTTCCCTTGACAACCACCCCGGACCCCAAAAAGAGTAATTCTCCTCAAACATCACGTTCACCTAGGTTTGTCTCACTTGGTTGAGATTCGGGACCACGAAATGCTCGGTCTCCTGGTTTGCCTTTGCCAAACAAACCCTCCCCGCATCAAGTGGGAGTATCCGCACCCACCCCACCAACCCACCCCGCCCCGCCCTCCGCCCCGCCCCGCCCCGCCCCACTTTGGCTGTTGGTCTCACGCGCGTGACATGCGGAGGTGGGGAAGCTGAACATGGTGGACCTCGCGGGTTCGGAGCGTCAGAGCAAGACAGGCCCGGCAAAGGCAAAGATGCGGAACGGCACTGCTGCAGAGCTTGGGAGTGCGGCTGGAAAGTGAGCGAAGGAAAGGAGCAAAGGGAAGAACGGGTGATGATCTCACAGCATTTTTATGAAGAGAATGATAGCAGGATTGGCGCGCAATGGGTGCCCTTAACTTTGGCTCGGGTCTCTGATTTTGACCCATGCCCTTGTAATTGGTCTCAACTTGAGAATCCCCTCGGCATGGGGTTAAGGAGCCAAAAGCCAACCCAAGTCCCCTGTTCTTTGGAACTACCCCAAGAAAGATGCCTTTTTGGTCGCCTTTTTTTTTGACGGGTGCTGCTTGCAGAGGGAAAGAACCGCCGGGTGAAGAGGGTGACCCCAGGCGGGTGGGCCTATTCCGACGGCTTCCCCCGCCTTGGCTGGCGCCAGGGGCCACGGGGGAAAGGCTGAAGGAGGCCACGAAGATCAACCTCTCGCTGTCCGCCCTAGGGACCGCACGTCGAGCCGTGGCGAGCGGCTGTGTTTTTGTTTATATATATATATACATATATATACATATATATATATGTTTTTGTATTTGTTTGTGTTTGTCTTCTCTTGTCTTTCTGGTTGCGAGGGAAAAGGCGGCCGTAGGGCAAGCTCAGTTGACAAAGAAAGATATCGCGGATCAATCGGGGGTGTTCGTCGAAAGCGAAGGACAGACTGATCAACCGGGCTGATATTATTAATTCCTGGGTTCGCATGAAGCAGTAAGCAGACCCCCCAGTCGCTTAGCAGCAAAGCGCAACCGACACAATGGCGAAAATCCAGATCAGTTTCAGGGAATCCCCCCAATGACGCAAGGTTTGTGAAGCTCCGGCCAGCGTTCAGTGCCAAATTTTGGGACTCCGATGTTGTGCACTTTGGGAAAAGCCTTGACTAGTGCTGAGAAAGGCACCTTTTGCACGAGCTGCACATCGGAGATCACGAGGCATCATGTCAGTTGAGTGCCGAAAGTGCCCAATTCGCCAGTTCGGGCGGTTCTCCTCGATTGGGACTTCTGGCCTGCGAGCAAACCTCACTTGGCTAGTGGAACCATCCACAGCGTCGGTGAAAAAAGCGCCCGCAGGAACGTGATCTCCGCCCTTGTGGACGGGCCCCTCGCCAAAGCGGAAGGGGAGCCCGTTGCGTTGGATGCCTTTCCGATGGCCTGAGATGCAGGGAGCTCTAGGGTCACGTCATAGCGGCATATATGGCTGCGGGTCAAAACTATGTACACAAAATGGAGCCCTGGTAAGTGGTAACATAGACTAAAACCTGCCGTCCCCTTGCGGTTTAATTTTGACCCATACCCATATGACATTTTCTGGGCCTGCGGCCTCTAGCCGGCTACGCCTTTTTTGAAGTTATACCATGTCATGTCATGTTTTGCATGAGAAACGTAGCGTGTGCTATGGGTTAGGTTATGCATGTTGCCCACCTTAACCCCAGATAATGCCGGGGATGCCGGCTTTCTGGGCCCCATCCGGGCCCCAACCCAGAAGGCTGACATGGGGTCGCGCGCGCGCGCGCGCCAGAGGACCCAAAAAAAGCAGCCCAAAAAGAGCAGCCCGCAAGCCAGGCCGGAAACGCAAATGCAACAAAACACTGTAAATAGCAGCGTTTTGTGGCTGGGGTCGCGCGCGCGCCAAAAAGCCGGAAAACCAACGCGAAAAAAGCAAGGACCGCGCAGCACGCGAGCCAGCCACAGCAAAAGCAAAACGGACAGAACAACAGCCCAATGCTCAGCACAGCAGTTTTTGGCGGTACTTACAGCGTTTTGTAGAGCGAGGGCCCAGCATCGCCGGCATGCCCGGCAGCGCTTGGCGCCAAAATGCTCAAAAATGAGCCTCGCTCATACCCCTCCGATACCTACTTAAAAACAGTGCTTTTTGCAGGAAGTCTTGATGATGCAGACCAAGCCCCGCTGAAGCATCACCCAGGCCCAACCCCAGACCCTGACGATGTCAGCCACATGGCCTAATCCCTGCATATACGCGATGTTTCGTGAGGGTTTCCCACAGTCAAGCAAAACCGCAAGCCCGAGCTGGTGATGCAGAGGTGCCGGATTTAGGCCGCGCATCACGACCAAGTGGCGAGGGTCGGCGGCGCCAGGGTGCACCCCCAATAGCTGAAGCTAGCAGGCTAATTGCCTAGCGGCGACATGCTACCCCAAGGAGGCGTAGCCGGATTAACCAGGCTCCCGCCTGCTGCCGCCGACCCTCGGCGCATGAAGGGACAAATCATAAGGACCGGTCCTGAAACACGTACTTATAAGAGCCTCTACGACCACAAACAAGGATTAACGGAAAAGTCAGACATATGGCAGCTAGTCCGTTAATTACCGCTTGGGCCGGCTTGCGCCCAAGTCACTTCAAGTTGGCCCGGGAGCAGTCGCCTCTCCCGGGGTCGCCGGCAGGACCGGGACTTGGGACCCTGTCCAGGCTGGTCCCAGTCTGGCGCGGTTTGACTCGACGAATTGGACTCTCTTGCAGAATAGATCCAGGGATCCTCTACTACCACAAGGATTAACGGAAAAGTCAGACAGATGGCAGCTCGTCCGTCAATGTCCGCACGGGCCGGTTTGCGCCCAAGTCACGTTGAGCTGGTCCCAGAAACAAGGCCGTCGGTGCCCCTCAACCGTTGGAGGAAACAGGTGTCTGGAGCGGTTTGAGGTGGCGCCAGCTGTTTGCAACTGGGATCCGATAGCAGCGGTTGCACCAGGACTCGATCCCGGACCGGCTTGGACAGTCCTGGCCAATCCCATCCCAGGACCGGTCGAGGACCAGGACTGGGGTCCTGGGACTGGGACCGGTCCCGGGACCGGTCCTGCGGGCGTGTCCCCCAGAAACCATCATTGGTTCCAATCACTTCCAGTTGCATCCCACGCCGGTCCCCTCTGCAGGAGGCTGGGACGGGAGGCAGAGGGGCGGATTTAAGCACATAGCCCGGCAGAGCTCCGTTCTTTTCCGGTTATACCAAGAGAACAAAAAACAAAAAACACCTTGAAGAGCAGCGGCTCCACATGTTCCCGAACAAAGCGGACCTTGGTTGAAGTATGGTCAGGCAACGCACTCTTCAAGTGGCGCTGGCCGCACTCCAAATTCAAAGGTCCCATCAACGGTTCACGTGATGCCCGGAACGCCCAAGGCCAAAAATCAGATCAACGCCAAAGAAAGCCACAGAGTCCAGAGTCCAGAGGCGAAGGGGTCTTGTGTGCCCAAGTGGGTGGTCCGTCTCTCAATGGTCGGCCATCTTTTGCGCGCTCGACCAGCGAAAGGAAGGGACGCCCGACCTAGCTCACATTTCCATGTGTGTTCCTGTGTCATAGCCACACCTCCGTGCCTGATTCTTTGACACGCTGCACTGGGATTCATCTTCGTTCCGTGCGCCAAGCTATCCTCTTCTCGGCGGTTTCAAGGGGTCTCCCGCCCTTGGGGGTCTCCAAGATGCTACAAAAAGAAAAGGGCCCCAGTTCCGTAGGCCAAGCCCAAGTATCCCCAAGACGGGCCCCGGAACTTCGGGACGCGACCAGAAAGCTCCGAGCTCCGAGCTCCCAGCTCCCAGGAAGTCCTCGCACATCCCGTACCGAGATTCCAAGCTGACGCGGCTGCTGCAGGAGCACGCGCGACCCGAAGTCCGAAGTTGTGGACGCCTGTTCAGGGTTCGTCGTACAGCAGATCCTGCATCCCTGCAACCTGTAACCTGCAACCTGCAACATGTGGGTGAACTGGAGAGGTTGTTTGAGCAATCTTGGCTTCATGTTTCAGCAGGGTGGTGGCCTGTGCACCTGTTTGTTTCTCCGGCCAATGAACAGGATGTTTTTCTTGGAATCCCCGTAGGTTGCAAAGCGAGGGATGGGCGAGCTTGGACTGGGGTTGGGCGCCTAAAAATACACGCAAATGCTGGTCAATCGCCTGCCACCCGAGTTTGGACAACCAGTGCGAGTCTGGGATACAAGTTGAAACACTCGTGACACTTTCTTTTGTAGGTGTGTGCTTGTCCGACATTTGGACTCAGACGCTGAAGTTGACAAGCACCGCATGTGTTTGTGGCCACTCTCAGTGCCAACCAAAGTGATGGCCTTTGAAGACATTCCACGCGGGCGCTTCCAACGCAAAGTAGGCGGTCCAAGCCCATAGAGGCCTCTTGACGCTTCCAGCTTAGCTGCATGTGTCAGGCCGAGAGTTCCGAACCCGACCCGCCTTTCACTGCAGTCGGTGTGTCTATCATTTCATGACAGGTTCCAAACCGAGCAATGGTTCGCAGACCAAAGGCTTCCCACAAAGCCATGTCAACAACGGATGTGAGCATGGTTTTTCTCGCAACTTCTGGGGTCGAACGATTGCGAATCCCCCCCCCCCCCCCAGAAAAAGAGAAGAAGAAGGATTGTTTTTTTGCTCTTTGGCACCATCCAGCCTCGCCAGTGTGCCCAGCTCACCTCTCCCCGCGCAGACGACCACATCATTCCCGTCCTTTTCTCTTCAAGCCCGATTCCGAGCTCCGGACCCAAACGCGGAAAAGCTTTTCCAGAACCAGGGGGAAAGAGAGAGGGACGTCTCAAGTCTCCATCTTGAGGACTCCCTGGGCGGCAACACCAAGACCGTCATGGTGGCCAACGTCGGGCGCGGAGCCCCGGAGGGACCCTCGGAGCCCCGGATGCATTTACCCCCCGGGTTGATTCGTAGGTGCCACTGGCCCCACTTTTGGAGGACCTGCGGCCGGGGTTAGGGGTCGACATTTGCAAGACATGGCCGTTTCTGAGAGCTGGCAGAGGGAGCCCCACATACACCGGGTGCCGGAGTGCGGGCCTCACATCAGATCCCTCGAAGAGCTTCTCTTTCGAAGGCACCGGCCCCAAGCCCTAAGTCAAGGGATGGCTTTCTTAACCTTCAGTGGTTTAGTGGGGGTTTCAATCTCAGCGTTCATCTTTAAGGGGGCGAATCAGATCCGCAACCCAGAAGCAGACGGGTCGAAGGAAAGAGCGTTGGGAAGGTTTGCCCAGATCCGCTTGGGGCGTTTCAGGCCCGCGGATTACAACTACGACGAGACGATGTCCACGCTTCGGCGCGGGGGCTGGGAAGGGTGTGTGTGCATTGGGGGACTCCTTGTTGGGTCGGTTCCAAGGGGAAGCAAAAGGAGACCAATCAGGTTGGGAGTCCTTGGACACACAAACAAGCACACACACACAAATCTTACATGTTGAGAGGCTGCCCCCCAGAGTCTAGCACATGTGCGCCTTGCTGTGCGGTAGGTACGCCTATCGTGCCAAGAACATCAAGAACAAGCCCCGGATCAATGAGGATCCAAAGGCCCGCCAAGAGTCCCATCGGTGGCGTCTCCAAAGCTTTTCGGATTCTTCTCTCTCTCAGGGCTCGATTTTGTCCTGCCATGATTGCATGGCTGTGAGTGAAAAGTAGGGCCCCCTGGTGATTTAAATTAGACCCACACCCACGTGTGGTCATGTGGTCGCTTCACCACTCCATGCAAGGAATCCCACGGTTGTTCTTGGGGTACATGCCTGCTTGTGTTCCAGGATGCCATGATCCGGGAGTACCAGGAGGAGATAATGAGGCTCAAGGCCGGAAACGCACGGCCAGTTGGCAGTCCGGAGTGCTCATTGGGCAGTCTTTGCAGCGGAACAAGGGTTTTGCCAACAATGGAAGATCATGAAGATCCCTTTGGGGGTCCTGATATCGCTTTATGCAGCCATTTTTCCAGCCGGGACCCAACAATGTAGCGACTTAGGAACACATGAGCGCCCAAAACCCCAATAGACCTACATAAGACCCCCTTTGGCCATCTTTGTAAACCAAAGTCAAAGAGTGTTGGTCGTTGTTGACATGTACACGTGGCTGAAATTGCATCAGTGCCAACCATGGTCAGTCTCTATTACACCCCTCCAGCCTTGCAGCGTCTTGCATCGCCAGGATCACCATTCATCCTTGAGAGGTGTTTGGAATTCAACATGCCCATCCTTTGTCGGTCACCCGAGAACATTCCTGAATGCAGCAAATGAACCTTTGCGCCTTCAAGTACCACGCAATGGCTGTAAAGGCCTTGAATGTTTGGGGTCGTGCATTTTCACGGACCCTTGTAGCGAGGCTGAGCTGGATGCATCTGGTGGCGAGATGGTCGATGAGAACGGAGTGCGGACCCTTGTGCAATAGAGGGGACCTACAGAAACAGACTTTAGAAGGGAAGAATCCTCACCCAATTCTTTGTCTTGCGTGGGCTAGGCTTCAGTTTTGTGCTCATATCTGAAATCTGAAGAGCCCCGGGGGATGCTGTGAATTTATCACCCAGAGAGCTTTTTTTTCGCATGCTTGATTGTTCTCACTCCATGACCCACCAAAAGAGCACGGTTTGGCTTTGAGGCTCTTTTTGAAGGGGTACTCAACATTCAGCCACCCATGGTTGGTCGCCTATCTTGCCGTGTGACGGCTAGTAAAAAGCGACGGGATGAAGAGACCGAAGGCAGCCGCTTAGACACCGTTGGCTTCCATGGTGTAACAGACCTGAGAAGGTTACACCACAAGCATATGGCTGTGGCTCAAACCACCAAAATTGGAACCCTGGTAAGTGGAAACATGGACCAAAACCTGCGTAACCCCTCTTGTTTAATTTTGAGCCACACCCATATGTCCACATTTCCGCATTTCCACATCCTGCCGCAAAGTCACGGAACCAGAAGCATTGTCGCTCTAGCTTCCTTTTGCATTCCAATCCCTTGCCAGCTGACCTATCTTGTGGGCAGATGGGTAGGTCCGCTGTTTTGACATCTTGATTTTGGGACCCTTGCTGGGCGCGCGAGGCTAGGGTTCGCTTTCCTCTCAGTTGGTTCTGCATCGAGCCTGTGGGTATGTGCCAAGATAGGGGCCCCCACAATGCACACATGCACACCATGACTGGCAGTCTGATTCTTCACAGAAAGCCACTTCACATGGCGCCCGAGTAAATCAACATCCACGGCCAGCTTGTGACATCTGTTGAATTGCCAATCTGTGGAACAAAACGGCGGGCCGCAAAGCCGCAATCGGCTTCCCGAGGGTTTGGTTGGCTTTTGGCACTGCCGAAAGCCTAGCTTTGCGACATACACAGACACATACACGTGCGCGCACAAATACATAATTTCTCAGGACATTGAGGCAGATATGGTCAACGGGACTTAGGCTTCCATAAAATGGCTGTGTGCTGCTCTACAAATTAGTTTTTGTCTCCAATTGAAGACGCCCACAGGATTCCCGCTGGGAAAAAAGAGCGTTACGATGGACCATGACGCATCTCCACAGGTTCTTGGAAGCAAGACTTTTTCTTTTATTTTTTTTTGGGGGGGGTCCTTTTTGTGATCCCTTCTTATTTTTTAGGACCCCAAGAAAACCTCCGCCCCAAAGGTTTGGGACTCGCGCGCAGCCTCAGGTGCCCATGGGTCCGGGGGGAGTGCGGGTGGAGAAGCAGGTGGAGCCAGGACCTTGGTGCCAGCTGGCCGGGTGTCTTTTGTGCTGTTTGGGGTCCTCTAATTTTGGACCCCCTCGATTTTTTTCTCTTTATTTTTTAGGACCCCATTTGTCAGGATCGAATTGGGGGGTGAGGCGCATTTTACGGACCATTGCGTTCATCGCAGAGATGCTGGCAGTCCGCAAAGCCTGTCGCATCTACCGAAGCCAGGTCAACATGTGCTTTCAGATGGAAACATAATTGAACCTCTTTTCAGGCGGTGTTGAAGGGCAACGGAAAGGAAAACTGAAAACCGAAGCCAGCTTTGGGGGGTTCCCCTCAAAAAAGACTCGCCCGTTTTGTGGTGGAGCTGTGAGCATTTGCACCCATCCCCCTCTTTCACAAGTTTTACACTTGCTGGCCGGTGGCGCACAGTTTTTTCCCGATCATTTTCGTTGTGCAGTTTGCAGGGCCAACGGTGCAAATCAGTCTAGCCGGCGTATGAGTATGGGAGGGACGGAGTGTCCCAGGTATGTGGAGAAGATTGTGGAAAGGACGGTGGAGAAAGAGGCTGGGAGGTTTGTGGGGATTCAGCTTGGCCCCAGATGAGGGTGTGTGTGTGTGTGTGTGTTTTTGTAAGATCACCCTTTTGAGGCTGGTTTCAACGGACAGTACACTTGAAAGGAAATGAAGAAGGAGTTTGTTTGCACAGCAGTTTTTTTTATTCACCATGAAACGCATTTGTTCGCCTCTTTGTTGTTTCACAGACCAAAGGGAATCCAGTTGGATCCGAATTCTGTTGACTCGACACCAGCTCCCTTCCGTTAGGTGATCGTGGAGCAGGGCCCCAGCCCAGAGGAAGTGGCAGCCATGGAGGCAGGAAGTTGGTCTGGGAAACCCATAAGGAAAACGCAGAGTAATTTTGTTGGAGTCCAACGACTTGTGAGGCACATTCCAAACGAACCCATTCAGGAAACGGGTTCCGATTGTGTAGCGCGAATTTAGATTGTAACCCAAAAAAGAAACCAACATAGGATGGGTACGTTTAGCTTTTCCAGACCCCTGTCACTGCCTGTTGTGGGGGGAGGCCGGCCTCCTTTGGTTGTTCAAGGGAAGAGGGTCTGGGCAGCCCCCCAAAGGAGCATCATGGGTAAGTTGGTTTGACGCTCACGGGTTATCACATCTTGCCAACTACACACAGACAGACAGACAAACATGCTTGCCCCGCACGGCGCCTGTGTTTTTGACGGGTACCCTCTTCACGGGGTTTAAACTTGGTGTCTCCCAGCCATCCCCTTAGCCTTTTAGCTTTTTAGCGTTTAGTGGGGATTTCCATTTAGCCCACTAAAAGCTCAACTTTTTGCGGGGGACCCGCTGAAGCCGAGAGGAACGCCGCCCGCGTTCCTTCGGTCTCGTTCACGAGGAGCAGCACCGCCAGCAGATCCACGAGGCCCAGATGAAGGCGGAAGCGCGACGCCGCGAGGCGCCGGGGGGGTTCGGTGGGTCTCGGTCCCCCAGCCAGGTGCCCTTTTACCCTTTCTTTTTTTTGGGGCTTTGGGTTCCCCTACTAAAATAGACTACAGAAAAAAGTTGGTACCCTTATTCTAATCTCTCTACTGGAGGACCTAGGGTTGGTGTCGGTGCCGAGTTGTTGGCACCCAAAAGGCAGGGGATACCCTTTGGGCCGCGAACATGGGGTCCCACCAGAGGGTCCCTTAGAGGAAACTGTCTTCCAGGACCCCCCATGCTAGTGAACCTGCTGGTGCGATAAGCAGGGAATGAGGCCATGAACCAGGGGCCACCAGTTGGATGACTTGTTCGGGTGATTTCCCTCATTCCCTACTGAGCGCCAGCAAGAAAACTCATCGAGGGGGGAAACCGCTTACACCCCTTTGAAGTCAATCAAGCAAAGGAGTGCTGAGCCCATGCTTGTTTTTTCCGGCACTGGGGATTTGCGACATGGCTTCCTCTTCCTGCAAAGGGAAATATAGGGATTCCAGGACCCGCTGGCCTTATTCATTGGTTCTGTACGTGCAGTTGCGAATGCAAAAGACCATTTCGCACTGTGGCCATTGAATAGCAGGACCCCCTCCCCCCCCCCCCCAGCATTCCCTTCTTTGACCTTGTCAGCATTTTCCTCGCGAGAGAAAAGACGCGCACGGTTTTCAATCTGGTCAGGATGTTTTTTTGTTCACCCCTCACCTAATTGTTTGTGTTTGGTCCTGAAAGGGGGAGAGCCTTGACATCGACGGGTGCCTACAGTTGACGCCCTCCGGCATCCCTTTGCTGTGATTTGGGCAAGTCCGCTCGTCGAAACTACGTAATACTTCTTCCTGTGAAAGGGCAGCTTGAAAGTATCCCGCCCGGGAAAGTCCTGCATTTCATGCTCACAGGATTCTGGGGGTGTCTTCTGTTAGGGATATCCTTCTTGGGGGGTTGGGTCTACCGAGCCTCACGGGGGTTGCTTTTTCAAGGAGGGCTGTCCACCTCCATCAGGTAGAGGCCCAGCGCGACCTAGCAGAGTCCGAGAGGCGGTGTGTTTGCTTGAGGGCAGAGGTACAGGTTTTTATGTTCCCCCCCCAAAAAAAAATGGATACCCTCTCCACTAGCTTGTCAGGTTTCATGGGGTCCTAAATTTTTTTTGAGAGGTTCAGAGGGGAAAAAGCAACGTTGCAAGTGGTCGGTTTACCTCAGGTTTGAACATGGAACGCAGTCGTTCCTCGCAGTGGCGTGGCTAGTCGCACTGAAGTTCAGACCGAGGCCAACTGTGAGTGATGTCACAGATTATTTTGTTTGGCAACCATGGCAAGTTTTGGAGGTTGAAGGGCATCGTTTTGCAGACCCTATCAGTTATGGGAGGCATTGCCCCTGATCGAAATATCATCTAGCCACCTGAGGTTGAGGGCGGGGCCTAGGGCCCCCTTTTTGATGGTCAAAGGGAGCTCAAAGGAAACCAACTCATAGAAAAGCCACCCCAGTGGGAGTACTTCCAGGAGATGTGGCTGCGATGCTGAAAGCACCGGGGAAAAACGTGCCTTTTGGTGGCGCACTGGTGAAACAAATGCCAAACAGCTGTGTGTTAAAGCCAGGGGCCCTTACGATCCATGGTTTCATGTCGGTGTTGCTAACGGTCACCCCCATTTTCGAGGCCCTTTCATTCCACACACACACACAGTTTTGAGTGTGGCTCCAAACTGATGGCCCAAACCGCAGACGTTGAGTTTTGATCGCTGGGGGTTGGGTTTTGAGCCGCCGCGCATGGGTTCCCCAAAAGTGATTGGTGTCGATTCGGCAGGTTGCGGCTTCTGGCCCAGATCGACGAGGAGGAGAACATCTCGATGCAGGAGCGGAGGTCCTTGGTTGAGAAATCAGGTGCTCGGCAGCCTTGAAAGATCCCTTTTTACCTTAGTGGGTTCCCCACCAAACAGGGTCAAACCTCAGCAGGGTTCCCTTTTTCTGCCAGGGTCCGTGGGCAACTGGAGAGCTCGGTAGAACTGCCTGGACCCCACCAAATGGCGGGAGACCGGGCGTTCACAACCAGTCAGCGCGCTTGCTTCGGTCCCACCAGCCTTCCAGCTAAGGTCGTGCTGGCAAATCCTATTGGGGCTGTTCCCAAAGTCCGCCGGTTTGAAGAAGGCAAGCGAGCTCTTGATTCACGAGAATCCCATTGTCTGGACGCGCTCATTTTGTGTTGTTGCAGCATAGTGTCTTTTGCAAGGGATGGGCGGCGCTTTGCGCATCTTGAGAGTTGCACTTTGTTCAGGAACTTCAGGCCAACTTTTGTTCAGCGAGGTTCCCTTTGAAGTGCCACTACTGCTTGCCACTACTCGCAGACACGGTGCGGACCTTGGCTTTTCCATGTAGCAAAACCAAGTTTTGGGCGCCTGCCTTGGTTTTGGAGATCCACAGGTGGCGTGCTTCTCCCCCTCCGCCTCGTTAAAACACGTTGTAAACTAGGCGTTTTGTGTTTTGCTTGTTTTGTTGGTTGGAGAAACACACTTTCCAAACAAAAGCCACCAGTACGCGAAGATCAAGAAGACCAGCATGTGCTGGTGTTAGACATGTGTTTTTTTCCTCAAAATGGGGCCTCCTCAAACGGGTTGTTTCCTTTTGGTTTCCGCATAGAACCAGCCTAAAACGGGGTCCATCATTTTGAGAAGCTCCTGCACATTTCTTCGCTTCTGGAGGCCCTTCTCAAATGTTGCCGAGCGCAGGGCGGAAATTGGCGCCTCCCGATCCCGCCAAGAAAATGGGGTCCCGTCCTCTTTTCATTGAGGAGGAGCAGCACAAGCTGGAGCTGCAGGCGTGGATCGGCGATAGCCGCGATGGTCTCAGGAAGTCGCCGTGAAGCGAATCTTTGTCTTGGGAGCTCGCGCCAAGCTGCAGGCGAAACTTTTTGCATGGAAGCTTAAGAAGCTGAGAAGATGCCATGAGCACAGTCAAAAAGCACTGTGCTTTCTGCAAAAGTCTGTTCCCAAATGGGTTTCAACCCAAAACGCGGCGGGGTGGGGGTGGGGGGGAGGGGTGCTCTTGTTCTGGCCGAGGTGGCCCGTGGCTTATGGTGAACTCTGGCCAGGGTGTTTTGGGGGCGAAATCGGAACTTGGCCAGGGAAAGCTGCAGCAGATGGAGATGAAGATGGTCCAGGGCAAGCAGGCCATATGGCGAAAAAAGTCATAGTCGGGTTCGCCCGCCCCCAAAAACATAAGGCCAAAAAAGGTCCCCAGCAAACGGTGGCCATTTCCTTTGGGTTGGGTTTCTCTTCCAAAGCAACCCCACAAGAGGGTTGTTTTTGCTTGCATGGTTTCTTGTTTTTCCTTACGGATACTCTTTCAGGTTGGCTGTTTTGACAAGTGGACAAGAAAAAACACATTTCTTGCAATCCTATGTTTTTGACACCGAAAGGCGCCATTTTTACCAGGGGGAAGCGGATCCCTGTTTTGACACGAGCCATCAAAACCTGGAGAGATGAAGGGATAGTTCCAGCGTGTTCCAGCCATAAATGCGGCAAAGAAGGCCTTTGATGCTTGTCATGGTGTTGGGTAGACTCCTTGGCTTTGATTCTGACTCACTTGACTGGTTGGGGCCGGGAACAGCCCATTGACTCGTTGGGGCCGAAGTCCGCTCCTTGCAAGCCGATTTGCTGACTAGGAAAGGTGAAACATGTATGCAGCCCGAAAAAGAAACCGCAGGGTCTCCCTCTCTCTCTCTCTCTCTCGCTCTCTCTCTCTCTCTCTCTCTCGCTCTCTCTCCCTCTCCCCCCCTCCTCTTGTCTCCTCTCCTCTCCTTTCCTCTCCCAAGATTTATGGTTTCCCTCTTGTCTGAAACACGCGACTTGGTGCACGCGCGCGCACGTCTGTGTGTGTGTGTCCTCCCTGATGTGTTTTCCTCCCTGATGTGTTTGGTTGCCGTAGCGGATATCACGCTAGCCAAAGATCTGGAGAAGCACAGTCACGGTCTGTCTCCGCTCCTAGCGCAGGCTCGCCTCCCTGCCGCAGGTTTCCGTCGCTCCCTCCGCTCCTTTTCCGCTTCTCCCAGCTCGTCGCCCCACTCTGCTTTTGGTTTGTTTGCCTGCCCCACGATGCTCTGCAGACTTCTCAGTTTCAACTCTCCCTGTGCGACTGCTTCGACCTTGCTCCTCTTTGTCTTTCTCCGCCCGCGCTTTTCCCAACCCTTCGCTGCTTGTCCGTCTGAGCTCTTCCGGAAGTTGTTTTTCCTTTTCCTTGGTCATTGGTTGCACTGTTCGCACTGCATCAAGTCGCAGTGGATCGCATCACATCGCGTCGCGTCACGTCATGCCACTGCACATCATCTAGCTTACACATCACGCATTGCATCCTGTCATCACATCACATCACAGAACCTCATGTCATGTCACGTCAAACCGCGTTGCATCACAGAACACAACAATTCATCACATCACCACATCTTCTCCTATCACATCATATCACGTCTCGCGCTGTCACATCCCATCACCTTACATCACGTCGTGACACCACATCATATCGCATCACATCACGTCGCATCCCGTCACCTCGCATCACGTCACGTCATCACATCGAGTCACGTCGCGTCACATCACGCGACGCCGCGTCACATCGCTTGCTTCGCAACGCATCTCACACAGGCACGCCACGGACATCCACGCCAATCAACAATCCTCTCCTCATCCTGCTGCGCCGGGGGCTGTGCTGGCGCACGCCGCAGGTTCGACCAAGCGCGGCTGTCTTGTCTTCTTGCTTGCTATGTTCCCCTTTACTTGCCGTTTCTCCACCCTCTTGCCTTTTCCTTTTCCTTTGTCCTTTCGAAAGTTCTAAATAATCGTAATTTCTGAGATCCAATTGTTCAATGAGAAAACCACGGCCCTACACAGAGAATATTAAGCTAGTAGTCTGATCTTCCTCTACTAAACCGATAGGTGTTTATTGAAGAGCGGCGCTCCCGGCTGGCCTTTCACTTGCAGTCTGGTTGTTCAATTTTTTGTCTTGCATCCTTTTGCCTTTGCTTCATTTATTTTCCTTGTTCATGAGTTCTCTCTCTTTTGTTCTCTATGAGACAGAATGGTTTCGTAGAGACAGATCCGTTTCATGAGATTTGCTATGTGTTTCATTTTGTCTGTTTCGTCAAATGTCCTGTTTCGCGGAAAAGAAAAAAGAAAGCGACCTACCCAAAAGGGTCAACCCCGGCACCTTACAAACAAGAAACACCAATTCTCCCTTGCCCAAAGCGAATTGATTTGACTTTCCAACTTGTCCCATTTGGGGGGCAGCTTTTGGGTGACACGAAGGACTTTGCACATGGCGGAGCTTTTCTTTCGTTTGCTTGTTTGTTAATAAGAATGATCAACGTGATTCCTATTTCGAGAAACACCAAAACGGCCTAAGGCCAAGCCGAAACATAAATCCAAAGGAGCAGAAGACGCATGCGCCCCACTTTTTTTGATGGGGAGTGTCCCATTTTTTGGAGGGCCATTGGGAGGCCCCCCAAAAACACATCAACACCTCCCTGTAAATCCGAATCCCATTGAGAGAAGCTCCCAACTGGGGCTCAACCAGATCTCCCCCGGCAGGTGATGGAGCAGGCCATTAAGCAGGAGCAGGAGCTCAAGAAGCACCGAATCCCAGAGATGTGAAGTGGGAGTTCGAGGATTTGGCTTGAAGTGGGGAATGCATGTCAAGAGTCGGAGCCACCTCAAAAGTTGCTGGTGGACATGAATCCCCACCCAAATTATGTCCAGGTCCCCTGTTCACACCCAAACCGAGGGCCATTCTGGCGGCCAGTTGCTGTTTTTCCCAGCAACTCTGACAGATTTTGAGACAAGGTGTCTGGGAAAAAGCAGAACAACTTGGCTGTTTGGGGTTTGAGGGGTTTCAAACTCACTCTTGGGTCTCGCTGGTATCCGTCACCACGTGACACTCCCAATCCCTTGGATCCGCCAAGGCAGCAGAGGCGACTGAAGAAGCAGCAGGCTGGGCCTTCGCTTCGCGTGGGTTGCGCTTGTCTGGTTCCGCGCTCCAAGGAAAAGGGGCAGACGTGAGGGTACACTCTGTTGCAAACCGGCCTGTGAGTGTCCGGTCTGGCTGGTTGGTATGGTTGGGACATGTTGGGACAGCCATGGATGTCGTGGTCTTCGGCCGGTTCCGGGAGGTTCCGAACCTTGCAAGGGCTCGCCCAATCCGCTTTTCCAGGAGAGGGAGGAGGAGCTGCGGCGCCAGGAGGCCTCCCGCTTTGCAAAACGGATTTCGAAGGGGAGGGAAGTGATCCGGATCGTTCGCGGGTAAACTCAGTTGGGAGGGGTCAGAGCACAGTTAAATGGGCATCCAACAGCCTTCTGTTTCCTTGAACAGTGACTCCCTTGACACAAAAGGGGGGGTCCTTTCTTTCAAAGGAATTGTCCGTTTCTGAACATCGATTTGTTCCGGTTTGAACGCCCAAGCCAAGAGGAGAAGAGCTGAGGGTTTATCTCGTGGGGGCCGTGCTGTGGGCGGAAAGCTTTGTCGTTGGTGTCACGTTTGGCGGACCCCAGGAATCACACCCTGGTTTTGTGCAGGACGTTTTCGGGAATGTGATCCATGTTGCAGTGTTGCCACCAAGCGACTGCCCACTGGAGCCCCGAGTTTTCCTGGAAATTTTATTTGGGTGAGCATGTGTCCGTATGGTGCGGGCAAGGCGCGGTCGGAGGGACGTGAGGGCATTCGGAGCATTGACTCCTTGAACAGGCTTGGGACGGGATCGCTTTTCTCCTGCACCTGCCACCAAAGGATCATCCCTCGGGTTATGACAGGGGTTTCCATCTCACATCAACTTTGACCCGCGGCTATTTTGTGTGCCGTCAACGTCTATGGACCTGTTGGTTCCTCCAAAAACCAGGCCGCCAAGCCAGGATACTAGCAAGCAAAGACACTGATGTGTCAAACTCATGTCCCTGGTGTGTCTTAAAGTCAGGGACCCATCCTTCATTGTCTGGTTCTCCCTCTAGTCTCCTTTCACAACCCCAAAATGGTGGGCGTGTCTTTTTTTTTTTTTTTTTTCGAGGGCACCTTTTTTTTTGTTTTACGGGTTTTCGAACAGGACACCGTGGCCGCTTGGTTCCAATCTTCATTGGAGCCCGTTGCCCCCATGGGGTCCCATGGAGTCCAAGGAACCCCCGACGCCAGGAGCAGCAGCGCCAGGAGAACATGCAGCTGGAAGAGCGATGCGCCTCCCAGGAGGAGCAGGCCGGGGTTTTCAGACCAAAACGGCGCGCAGGTCCTGCACTGCGCAGACTTTTTGTTTTCCTTCACGTTCCTTTGGACCAGCAAACAGTTGTCGCTTGGTGCGGGTCAGACTCGTCTGGCCGGCACAGGCAAACAAAAAGTTGAACGAAAGGTGGTCATCGCCGTTGCCACCGAAGGAGCTTTGACCAGGACTCATGTAAGCAACGATCAATATGTACCGTCAGCTAAGATGGGAGTTACTCACGAAAATTCCATGCCAGTTGGGGACACAATGAATGTTGTTGACCGGAAAGTGGGGAGGGGATTTGCCTTGCAAACTGCACCAGCAACCCTTGGGGGCAGCAGGGAGGACCACCCGCATACTGACTACTTTGAGAAACACCAATTCCAGTACACACAGACACTGCAGGGTTTGTGAGACGAGTTGGCATCCTTGCTTCTGGGGTTCTCAAGGGTCCAACTTCGACATGTCATCCACCTTTGTACTTAGAGGAGGCTGGCAATTTTCCTTTTGAAGATGTTTCAGTTGGTTCAGGTTCCCAGAATGCCCCCCCCCCCCCCCTTTGGTGCCATCGCCTTTTCAGCCAGCCTGAGGCGAGCTTCCTTGATGGGAACTACGTTCTCTGCACTCCTCGCCCTTTTTGAATGAAACTGAAGCAACCAGGAAACCAGCATTTGCGGGCTCCCCCCTTTCCCTTTGCATCCGGGGACCCCACCCGAAACCCAAAACGTACGGCTAACCGGATCGATTTGACTGCGAGCAAAACCGAGGTCCAGAAGCTCACAACGAAGCTGCAGAAGCTCTGGGACAAGTGCGCTTCCATTCCGGAGATGCGTCATTTCACCGTTTCACCTAGTGAACACTCACTTAGCACAACCCCTGGGAAATCCCACCCGTTTGGTTGAAATCTCCAAGGTGCAAACTGCCACTGGTTGGGTAGGATTCCCCTCATGTTTGTAGAGAGTGCCAGGACTTTGTTACCCGTGAATTCAATGGCAACGAGCAGATATGTTCGGAGAGCCGGGCAGTCCTGGTATGGGATTCCCACTTTAATCACACAGAAGTTGTGATTTCCACAACTATGTAGATGAGTTCAGCGGACCAAGATGATGTTGGCCATTTTTGGGGGCGGTCCGAGTGCAAGAGTCGAGGCCACTTTCCACATGACATTTTTTTTTCCAGACAGCCTTCGCAACCCTTTCGCAATTTTAGGATGACAGGAGTGTTTTGGAGGATAGTCCTCTTGACCAGGCCGGCGTTTATCCACTTGAATTGTTGGAACGCGAGTAGTTGAGCCTACGTCTCTTTTGATGTTTTGTTTGATAAGGAACATGGAAACCCACTCGGCCCTTTGCATTCCTTTCGATAGTTTAGGTTTCGCCATTGTCAACGCCATTCGGGCTTTGGTTTTCTGGAACGTTTGGTGAGTTATTCCGGTCAGTTTTCCTAAGTTCGCCCCAATATGTTCCACCTCTTCCATGGCGTTCGGCTCTCTGCCCACATTCTTGAGTTTTTCTTCCCCACTTTTCCGAGTTGTCCCGCTTCTCCATGTCTTTGCAGCTCGGCGTGTTGGTATTGAAGGCCATGGCGCTGGCTGTAAGAATCCCGGTTCGGGAACTCAGGTTTGCGCCGAGATGACGGTATGCGAGGCTTCCTCAATCATTGTGTTTGTGTTCCAGCTCTAGCTCAATGAAGCACATTTGCTGGCGGACTTTTTTTTGCTGGAAACCGGACCTTATGACTTTTCATTCTGTTGCAGAGAGAGCGGCTGCCGGCAAATGCAGAAGCCTCCAAGCAGTAGAGCGTGGCTGTTGCAGGAAGAGATTTGAACGCACGTTTGGGCAGCACTGGGCAATTTTGGCAGCAGCTACCCCAGCAGCCTGTTTGCTATTCGCGCGGTAAATTGCGGAAGTTTGTCAAATCCGGTGCAGGTCCCGTGGCCGGAAGCTCGCCATCGTTTTCCCACTGTTCTGTGGACAGAGCTCGCTCACACAGTTCGACGAATGTTCGCCAGATCTTCCGATCCTCCGCGCAGAGGCAACGCATGTATGAGCCTATGTATCACCAAATGCAAGAACGACTTGAAGAATCTTCACCAAAGTGGCTTATCTGCCCCACACGTTGTCTGTTTTGCCCTTCTGTCGGGAGTCGGGTCTCATGTCGGGTCCCTGTTGCGTTGATCCAAATGTACGAGTTTGGGCAGGGATGTTTAACCGAATGAGCCATTCGGAAAAGCATACATTCTCGGCGGATTTTGAAGCTTTTCGGTTGGATTTGCGCCCTAGGGGTATGGGGGGCTCCCTTTGGATGGTGCTCAAAGAGAAAGACCAGTTTTAGGATCCCCATATAGTCTATAGGACACATCCATCGGTGTGTGGCGGGAATGTGGGACTCCTCGACGTTTTGAGTATTGACCGGCTCGATGTGATTTGTCAGCTGGTTAATATGAATGATTGGCGTTTGCAGCCGGAAGAGCTATAGGTTGCCCCATTTGAGGGAAGCGAGGGGTTGCAACTTCTGGGGGCCTGACTGATTCTACATCCATTGGAGATAGCGGCTGCGCAAGGCAGCATCTTTGACAACAGTACTGCGGTCAGAGTTTGGATTAAGAGACAAACACAAACGACACTCTGTCGTGCTGCATACGGACACCCTACGGCAGGTATGTCGATGCTCAAGTTGCTCGGCCTATTTCAGGCACCTTGTTTTGCTCGCGAGGTACCAGAAGGCGCAGCAAGAGATGGTGGATCTCCAGCATTTCAACCAGCAGGAACGTGAGGACGCAGTCCGTCCGTCCCGCACTTGAATCAAGGCTTCCCCAAAGGCCGCGCACGGACCCAGATTTGAGAAATCAACTCAGGCAATCTCCAACGTGCAATTCGCGGGGGGGGGGGGGGGGGTGGAGGGGTGGTCTGGCATTAGAACATTCTCGAGCATCGGAGGCGAGGTTCCGCTCAAATGTGGCTTAGGTGGTTACGGGTTGGGTTTGCTATCGTTGACTTTGTCTGTTTGATTCTGGCAGCCTTGATTCCTTTTGTTGGCCCGTGACTTGATGATTCGATGTCGAGGAGATGCACACACGTGCGCGCGGCGGGCGAGCCGGGAAGTGTGCATGCGTGTATGCGTGTATGCGTGTTGCGTGCGTGTGTGCTTGCGTGCGTGCGTGCGCAGAAAGGCAAGTACAGTGAAGGACCATGGGTTTGTTTTGAGCTTTGCACATGGGCGTGTGTCTACCGGAAACTCGCAACATGCGCATTCAGTAAGGCTTCTGGAAGGCGAAGTTCCTGCAGGTTTCTCAGGGTTAAGGGCTCCATCAGCAAGATGAGCCATTTGGGAAGTTGATTTTCGCTTGAGCCAAGATGGGTTCTCTCCAGACATTGAACGAGTCCCTGGAACTGTTAAACCCCCTGAAAGGGGGGTGAGTCTCAAGGACATGCTTTCCATGATCCGCGAGCTGCGGCAGACGCTGAAGCTTAAGGCGCACACGCTTGTCAGAGGGGAGCCGGACTACTTACAAGGGAAGATGGGTATGAAGTTTCATTGAGGGATTGTTCGGTGGACAGTACCTACATGGATTTTGTTCCCCCAAGCATTTTGTTTGGGGTATTCATCATTGAAATATTTTTGTTTGGGGGTATTCATCATTAAAAGTCCTAGACACATCCCTCCCTTCCCAACAGCAGCCGGGGTAGTTGGGGCACCTGAAGAAGGGCGCGAGAGAAGATGCAGAGACTGTCGGGGCTACTCAAAGAGTGTCAACATTTTGGCCGATGGAAATGGTTGTCGAAATTCGGGACTTCTTCAATTGGTCGGAATTTTCTCACGGTTTCGAAAGGACACCGTGAAACAGGCAGCCCCGACCTTAAGTTTGACATGCTCCCATCTTGCACAAGCTGAGACTTTTTTGCATCCATGTCATGTGTTTGGCGCCGCTGTCGTGGCCTACTTTACAGCAGGTTTCCAGGGCTGGCGGTTCACTCACAACCTAACCCCAGAGGGCGGTGTTCTGGCACCTGTCCAGAGTTTGAAATCTAGACAACATCGTTTTTTGATGCCTCTGTTCCACAGGTTATTGTTCTCTCTTTCAGCACGTTTTTTAGTTCGCGCTTTCCACGCGGGAATCCAGGTGCGGCAAAAAAGCAAACAGAGGGCACCTGCGCGCCGCTCGCCTCTCGCTTCTCTCGCCTCTCGAGTCTCTGATCATGGAGTCCTTCGTGCCCATGAAGGACCCGTCAAGCGGATGGACATTGGACTGCACGCCGGGCAGAACTCGGAAAATGAAGTGCCATCATGTCCCAGCTATATTCAAAGACATGCTCAGGTGAAAGCCAGCAAATAGCTCAAACGTGATGCGTCGGTAAAGGCCACTAGAGGCCTCGGGCATGCAGATCTTTCAGCCTGCGAATTTCTACATTAGGAAGACAGGGAAGGAGGTGGTTTGCTATAGGCAGGTGTTGTTACTGTGAGCACAATAGAGCACAGTGCAGCTTGTTTTCCAGAGGGAACATGTCATGAACATGTCGATCGGATTTTGGATTCCATTGATTCGCCCAATGCACCGTTTGAGCCAAACGGCTGCTGGGGATTGACAGGTATGTGTGAGCGACTTCAGTTGCAAGCTGCAAATGCTTTTGATTTTGGGAGCCATGCCAACTCATCCAAAGTCACCCACGCCGAATAATTTGGAGCGCGACATGTGCGTGGTGTGACAGAACGGGACCCTTTCGTGAAACCAATATTCTTGGAGGGGGAGTGACCCCTGTATGGAGGGGGTTGACATGGGGGGGAGGCTCTGCTGCTGCAGATTTGCACGTGGAACACAAAACCGATCCATTTTGCGAGGAATCTACCCACCCCGGTGTGTGTGTGTGTGTGTGTGTGTGTGTGTGTGGGTGCGTGCGTGCGTGCGTGCGTGCGTGCGTGCGCTGCCGTGTGTGTGTGTGTGTGTGTGTGTGTGTGTGTGTGTGTGTGTGTGTGTGTGTGTGTGTGTGTGTGTGTGTGTGTGTGTGTGTGTGTGTCTGTGTCTGTGTCTGTGTCTGTGTCTGTGTCTGTGTCTGTGTCTGTGTCTGTGTCTGTGTCTGTGTTTGTGTCTGTGTCTGTGTCTGTGTCTGTGTCTGTGTCTGTGTCTGTGTCTGTGTCTGTGTCTGTGTCTGTGTCTGTGTCTGTGTCTGTGTCTGTGTCTGTGTCTGTGTCTGTGTCTGTGTCTGTGTCTGTGTCTGTGTCTGTGTCTGTGTCTGTGCTGTGTCTGTGTCTGTGTCTGTGTCTGTGTCTGTGTCTGTGTCTGTGTCTGTGTCTGTGTCTGTGTCTGTGTCTGTGTCTGTGTCTGTGTCTGTGTCTGTGTCTGTGTCTGTGTCTGTGTCTGTGTCTGTGTCTGTGTCTGTGTCTGTGTCTGTGTCTGTGTCTGTGTCTGTGTCTGTGTCTGTGTCTGTGTCTGTGTCTGTGTCTGTGTCTGTGTCTGTGTCTGTGTCTGTGTCTGTGTCTGTGTCTGTGTCTGTGTCTGTGTCTGTGTCTGTGTCTGTGTCTGTGTCTGTCTGTGTCTGTGTCTGTGTCTGTGTCTGTGTCTGTGTCTGTGTCTGTGTCTGTGTCTGTGTCTGTGTCTGTGTCTGTGTCTGTGTCTGTGTCTGTGTCTGTGTCTGTGTGTGTCGTGTGTCTGTGTCTGTGTCTGTGTCTGTGTCTGTGTCTGTGTCTGTGTCTGTGTCTGTGTCTGTGTCTGTGTCTGTGTCTGTGTCTGTGTCTGTGTCTGTGTCTGTGTCTGTGTCTGTGTCTGTGTCTGTGTGTCTGTGTCTGTGTCTGTGTCTGTGTCTGTGTCTGTGTCTGTGTGTCTGTGTCTGTGTCTGTGTCTGTGTCTGTGTCTGTGTCTGTGTCTGTGTCTGTGTCTGTGTCTGTGTCTGTGTCTGTGTCTGTGTCTGTGTCTGTGTCTGTGTCTGTGTCTGTGTCTGTGTCTGTGTCTGTGTCTGTGTCTGTGTCTGTGTCTGTGTCTGTGTCTGTGTCTGTGTCTGTGT